GAATTATCAAGGGATTGAAGTGTTGATTAGATGAGGGTTTTAACCGTGTCTTTGGAATTCAGGAGAAGACTTTTTAAAATTGTAAAAAGAAAACGTAGACAATAGTTGGTGGAGGGTATAGTGGTCAACTAGGTAAAAATAATGTGGCAATAACATTTTAAGGGTGGCAATAACTCAACTGTTGATCGGACGAGGGTTATAATTGTCATTTGAAATTTGGGTTATAATTATTATTTGAAACTTGGGACAATGACTTCTTAAAGTTGTCCGGAATGGTGTTTTAATTTTTGGAAGATATGCAGTTCAGACACTGTGTGAATTTCATTTTTACAAAAAAAAAAAAAAAAAAGTGTCGATTTGGTAGGAAAAGTGGGGAATGGTGTGTTTCCTAGGAAAGTAGGGAATAATGTTAATAGTCCACTGGTTTTAAAATTGGCGACGCAACCACATTTTTAGGGTGTCAGAGTCAGACCCCCAGTCGTCCGGCCCCCAATCCTGCCCTATATAAGCCATCCTCTCCCTTCCCCCCCAAACTCCACTCCACCTCCTCCCCCTCCCTGCAACTTCAATGGCAGACCCCTCCATGCATAACTTCTTCAGCCAGAACCAACCTTCTGCGGCCAAACCCACCAAGCACGCACCAGCTCCGTCCACCACCGCATCTCCCCGACGTTTTACTTGCCTCTACTGTTCCCGGGAGTTTGACACCTGCCAAGCTCTCGGCGGCCATCAGAATGGTCACAAGCGCGAGAGAGCCGCTGCTCGGCAAAACTCCCCGGCCGCCAACCAGCAGCAATACCAACCACTTCCTCTGTTCCCCGCTTATCAACAGCAACAACCCACCTCATCCATACCATTTCCCCACTTTCCGGGCATGTATCATACCGCGGGTGCAGCCGTGATAGTTGAGAAGTGGCTGCAGCCCATCCAGCCGCAGCCGCAGCAGCATCAGCAGCACCAGCACCAGAACATTGCTTCCAGCTCGGTCCCTCAGGCCTTTCTGGGCGTTTCGAATGCTGATTCTCTCTCCCCTACCACTAATGTGGATGATTCTGCCAATATGGACCTCACCCTCCGCCTGTGAATTAGGGCTTTAGACTGATCGGTGATGAAGAGATATATGTATATATATAAATGCTGGTTTTATTAATAAAATGGGTTTTTGAGTGTGATGATGAGAGTTTATCGGCATTAATTAATTCCCTAATTCTAATACTCCCCAGCATGAGAGTGGTCTGTCAACGGAAAACACTATTTTTGTTGATGTGTGAAGTGGCATGGGGATAAATCTTCTATGTTTGATTAATGTGTGTGTAATGTTTTATGGGTAGCTAGGAGTATACTCCATTAAATAAAGAATGTTTGCTGTCCAAAAAAAAAGTACGTAAGGATCTATATAGGTAACGAATATATTACTGTATTTGATCAGCATTAGAGATTAATTTCATGGGACGCTTAATTTGTGCTTAAATATTGTTTTATTATTATTGTTATTATTATAATTATTATTTTCAAATAACATGAGAAAAGAAAAGGCATAACTTAATTATAACAATTAAAATTATTTTTTTAATATATCTTTTTTATCGTCATTTTTTTAATATATATGATAATAAGTTCTAAAAAAAAATAATTTTCTCCTTTTATCACCCTCATGCAATTTTTTTTTTTTAACAGCAAAAAATATGTATATTATTAAACTGAGTACAAGGGGTACTCAACCCATTAAGTTATACCAAATAATAGTCATCCAATGTTAGTTCCCTCTTTTAGACCACTTTTCAATTAATCCCACCCCCATTGCTAGACAAACATGCTGCAGGATTAATTAACCAATCTAAAAGAGTAAAGTAACACTTGGATTTTTTTGCCTTAATCCATGCGAATGATCTCAGTTGAATAAGTTCTAGCAGCTTACCCATACTAATTTCTGTATCCTGGAATATTTTGCATGCTGCAGGATTAATTAACCAATCTTTCAGTAACACCTGGATTTTTTTGCTTTAATCCATGCGAATGACCTCAGTTGAATAAGTTCTAGCAGCTTACCCATACTAATTTCTGTATCCTGGAATATTTTGCGATTTCTTGCCGTCCATATTGTCCATATGACAATATTCTAGATGCAATCCCATCCTTCTGCTATGTGTGGGTCTTTGATCTCATTCTCGAATTGATCAAAAGTGTTGCCACAGTCTTCCTTTGATCTCACCCTCATGCAATTTAAAATTTGAATATGATTCTCTAAAATTATGCCCCATATGCAGCATTGTAGAATAAAAGGGAAAGAAGGAAGAAGCAAAAGAATGACATTTTTTTAATATATGTTATAATAAGTTCTAAAAAAGAAAATAATTTTCTCCTTTTATCACCCTCATTCAATTTAAAATTTGAATATGGTTTTCTAAAATTATGTCCCATACGCAGCATTTTAGAATAAAAGGGAAAGAAGGAAGACGCAAGTCCGCGTCTAGATATATAGGGAACCTTGATGTAAACTAGGGACAATGAAGGATTTCTATATTGAAGAGTTTAATCTTTAATTAATGATTAATGTAGTAATTT